AAAAACGCCCCCTTCTGTATTAAGTTCGAACATTTATATTAAAGCCCAGTATACGATTCACACTTCTGAGATTCATCTTAGATGTAAAGGTATCCTGACCAGCAATGGACTGGACAGATTGAAAAAACCTTTGACACCCAGTTCGTATTACTCACCGTATTAGGCGTATTTTTACTTATATAATCCCTGCTTAATATGTTAGAATAAATAACAAAATAAACAAATATTATTTACTACTCCTCAACGTTTCGATCTTGCCAGGAAGATCATTTTCAAAAGTATGAATCTGGCATCAAGTTTTCAGGTTTATATTCTAACTAATTCGTGTTTGAATAGTTTCCGGTGTTATTTCACTTAATCGTTTGAATCATGTCAAAAAATACTGGTTGAATTTCAACAACTTGTCTAGTCCTATTACATAACACTTTATTGATGTACTGTTTTCAGCAATTATATGCTCCTTTCTGAGTTATATACATTCTGTGAACCATTCTATATATTACATAATCCATTTTGTTATCACTCATACTTCAGGTGTTATCGAAAGTACTTTTATCGTCATCATTATTTTTATGTATTTATTACAATTTGTCCGATGTTCAAATATTCATCCTTTCAAACTAGTAATTTATTCTTTCTCACTCTTGATGACTCGCAACCTCATTGTACTTTTCATAGTCGAACTGAATTTCCCCACCCTATTTCTGTTAATGATGGATCGTGGTATCATATAAAAACAATTATACCACCCTATTTCTGTTCCGCCTTGCACAATTGAAAAAACCCTCTCTGACCAATTTGCTTATCCACTCACCTGTATTACATTGATCTTTGGTCCATTATCACGGTGTAATTGGATGATCGTAAAGGTCACCACCTTCCGAACTAAAACTTGAGTATAAACCTGAAAGCTTGATGCCAGATCCATACTTTTGAAAATGATCTTCCTGGCAAGATCGAAACGTTGAGGAGTAATAAACAATATTTATTTATTTTGTTATTTATTCTAATATACTACACTCGGATTACATAAGTAAAAATACGCCTAATACGATAAATCTTCTTAAAAACATAAAAACGTTAAGGAATAATGCAAAATACTAGTTTCTTTTGTTTCTTCTAATATATTACACCAGGATTACACAAGTAAAATGCACCTTGTACGATGTATAAATTATTCTTTATGATCTATTTGATGTATATATTCATTAAATAATTAACAGTATACTCTCTTGCAATCCTGTTTTTGTTGGTTGTCATTACGGTTTAAAGATGCAAATTCCATAGGTATATGCATCACATTCGTCTAGGTTGTTAATTTACGGATTCATTAACATACAAGAAAACAAAACTTGCATAAAATACACAGAGATGATATAGTCTTACTGGTTACGAACAGATTACGACCAGTCTAAGCAATGGAGAACAGAAAAAACTGAATACTTTGACAGAAATTTATTATGGACTTTCAATAGTCCAAGAGTAAGAATATTGGAACACCTAACAGAAACAGAATTACAGAATTAAAACAGTTAACAAAATAATTGATTTTAAGGGTTGATATTCTCACCAAAAGGTTGAGTCTTTAAAAAACTGAATCCGGAATGATTTTGTTATGCTGAAATCAGGTGTTACAGTGAACTGGAGAAGTGAAAATAGGAATCCCAGACAAAATACTTCGGCCATACAATTTTTAAAAAAAGTCATTTTACATAAGACATTTAGTAGTATCATTGCAAGCTCATTTCAAAATTGTTCCATTAACCCATCAACTATATCTCTATACTACTCAGTGTTTCTAAATGACTGCATGCTGAGTGAAACCAGTTGTTATTATTGTTCTGTTTGTGAAAATGTTTATTTTATTTTTGTGAACTGCGGTGAGTTTTGAACATATAACTTGACTGCATATGTGCATAACTCAGACCACAGATTTATTATGAAGATAGTGAGTGCATGTGTTTACATTCTATCTTATGATAAAAGGGAAGAAAAACTGCTAATTAAAGGGTTGCAAACATGTCGTATTGAGTACAATCCGGTTCACAACTCATGGACGCCAGAAAAGCCTAAAAACATAGAGATATTCAAATGGTGAGGTATCTAGGCTGTCAGAACCATCCTGGTATCATAATTGTATTTCTTAAGCTATCCACTTCAAGCACATGAAGTAAATGCAATCAATCTCTTTGTCGTTACAATAGTGTTTTTCTAGGAAAATCCCCTAGGTTATATCCAACAAAATTAAAAATTATGGGCTGTATGGGAGATAAGCAAATGTATAATTTAAAGTAACTGCATCATCATTCATTAGTGGTCGCATTTAATCCGAAAAACACAGGAATCTACTCGATGTCCTAGGGATATGAAATACTGTGTAAAACTTTACAATAAACAGAAGCGGTGTATTTTTCGTAGTGATAGTATTCGTAATGCACAAGGCTATAAGTGTTACCACAGTACAATAAATCTTTTGCCAAGGCTTTTATGAAATAATTATTTGACTCATATATTGCCTGCTCAGCCAAATCTCGGTGTCATTGACAACTGTTTAAGAAGTATATCAAAAGTTACATTTTAAAATATATTTAATGAGAGCAATTGCAGTACGTGTGCAACAGCCTAGATGTAGATCTATAATGAGACGATTCCTTTTCTCTGAAAAGTTCCACTAAAGGTTTGTGTTCAACTGGTCACCTCATAAATATAGTTTGAAGTAGGTGTTAAGGGAATTTTAAATTTCCATGAGACAATCACAAAACCAATTTAAATTGACAATGAACAAATTTTTACTGTATACTAAGTTCATTGGGGACGTTGGACTCATTAAAACTTTCCGGATCAGCATCATTCGAAACACAAAACTTCGTTTTCGACTTCAATATACGTGTTGCGCGTTATTTTTACTTTTAGTTATTGTCCAGATTCTATGAGAAATTTTAGTACATCTTGTGCTACTGTTTGATGAGAAGTAGAACAGTCTGGATTTCCAAATCCTTGACTTGTAATAAATTGAATTGTATACACTTTGCACAGGATCTCTTCTCTATATGTTTGAGACGAATAAAAAATAGATACCTTGCCTCGAAGATACGCATGTACTTCAACCCTTTCGTTACACTTCATTTTTCCATTTGACATACTTAGGCAGTTCTGTCATGAGTATTCGCGCTGATTATAAACTTGTCTAGAATAAAATTGTGTTAAGATATATTACTTACAAACAAATAGATTAGTTTGGTACGACAGGGTGCAGACAAGCGAAACACTAAAGTGTTTCGTGCAATTCGAATTGGATTACATTTTTATGCTTATAAGGATATGGTGTTTGACAAGACTTTCTTTGGAGTGCATTCGAAAAAGCATGATTGTGATAGCTTATGTATGTGCGGAGGGAAAATAAAGCGTTACTAAGTAGGATACTGATTTCAAGTACAATAAACGCTTCATTTTTTTTATCACAGAGACCGTGCACAGGAAAACTATCACATATGATCAAAGTGGAATACCTGAGAGAGCTAAAACTTGTTGAAATTATTCGTTGACCTTCAAGGATAGTTTTATATACTAAATTCTTCCAGTAGAAGAGTAAATTAACATTTCTAATTAGCTATGGACTAATTATATGTTGTGCATTTTAGTTTCATTTAGTAGTAGGTACTTGTTTGGTTGTGTCATCGCTCCACTTGGTACTCGAATTCGGCACTTTAAAGTGTAGTCTACTTTCCTAGTGATACAAACTGAAAATATGGTAAAGATATACTAAGTTAGAAGAAACATCATTTCTGTTGTGTTCTTCTCTGATTAACATACCGCCAGTTGGATCTACTACATAGTTGAGTGTAACTGTCAAATTTTCCTGATTACCTAAACTTCAAGGAAGATATTTATGGAACAAGGACGTCAGTAAATTTAACTGGATGAAAGATATAATTACTTAAGAAACGAAGAGAGTAACAAAGGACTATAATTCAAGTTGGAAACAATATTCTTAGATGGTATCTTTTGATAAGTTCTGGAGATTATGAGAAATATTTAGGAGTTGCGTACAGCTAAAGCATTGAAAATCGGCACTTGTCAAGTTCAAATTTCTATTGAAAAGAAATACGTGAAGTCTACTTCTTTACCGTAGACTGATTGATGTATTAAGCATCAAGTAAGTGAAACATGCTCAATACCTCAAATAGTAACAAACAATATCCGCCGGGTTCATTCCTTAAGGGAATCACTGGCACTTAGTGCAGAAAAATCATGGCATACAATGAAAAGTAAAATCTTGCGATCTCGTTTATAGTTGTCTAACTCTGAGGATAATTTTATGACACAGTACAGATCCTAAGTGAATGCCTCAGATGATTTGTAAAAACTAGTTTATTGTGTGGTGCTTTTCATTATAAACGGACACCAAATACAGAGCTAATGAGAACCAAGGAATACTGAACGCCTTTCTCCTTTTGGTTGAGAACTTTTCAGCACCAGCTTGAGATCAGGATATTCAATTTTCCGACACATAGTGATCTGTTACGAAAGCTTCTTTGATCCGCGTCTCACAAACGACTCAATTTTAAAATAGTACGGTCTTTGGCAAAGATCTACAGTTGTTCTAAAAGGAGTTGACTGAGTACTGGGTCAAACGAATAGATAGTAAAGGTGGACCCTCAGTTGTGACTAGATCGTACATCAACTAACCTTAGAAATGCTAAACCAGTGGATTCCAGTGCACTGAATAGATGTTCTCCATGTGAGACGTGGCACTCGTTTGCTCAGTCTTGCACAAGCCCATGGATCAACACTTCTGAGAATCCCTAAAATAAGAAGAGACAACTGTTCAATGACCAACAGTTTTCACTATTTCTTGAGCTAACAACAATTCGTGATGTACACTGCTTCAAGGAGTAATTAATCATGCATGTTGCTCAACAGAGGACTTAATAAATTTTTATGTAGGCGTAGGATTCACACATTTTTTGCAAACATTTTCCTGTTTCTTTTTTCTTTAGTTCCATGTAAAATAAGTACGGGAAAACGATTCAAGCTTTGTTTTACCTTTCATCCATCCTCTATTATTCCAAAGCACGCAATTCAACTAGCCACCTTATCCACTTATATACACTCATGGATTAATCCAATAAATTAAAATTGCGTGTGTTTTTAATGAATCCTGACCATAAAATATACGAACACTTTGATATAAATTTGAATAACAATAATACAATCGAAAATAAAGTAGAATTTTCAAGTATTAAATCATTGCATCGTCAAGTAACATGGGATATTAGTTTAATGCTGAGAAATCTACAACAGTCCAAGTATCATTTGATCACTTTAGTCATAATGACTCTAGAAAATCAGGAAAATGATACCCCAAATGATGGTTCTAATTCAGATGATGTCGACTTTTCTGATCAACTGATATCTTATGCTGCTGATACAAATGATGACGGAACAACTCAGAATGTACCAACTGATGGCTATAATGAACTTGACCAAGTTTTCAAAATTGCAAATATCAGTAATGATGAAGATGGTGGTGATAATGATAATATCGAAGTGTTCGATGGTGGAAGTGAACTCTTTTTCATTCAAAAGAGTAACTTAAGATTACCTAGAATTTTAAATATCGATGATGATATACTCCACCAAAACACACAAATAATACTGAACACGAAAACAGCAGAAATTATGCAATTAGAAAGAAATTATTTACCTAAAAAGCGTTTGGCACCTCGATCGTTCTTGGGTGAATCAGTAAAATATAGTAGTCAGCCACAGTCATGTCCAAGTTTTTTAGATCGAAATCATCGTGAAACTAAGTGTTGCTTATTTCGGTATACACTGAATAAGTTACAAATGGATCAAAATGACAAACTACGGTTTATTATATTTCCTCATCACTTACCGATGAAACATGTGTCATGGAAGATGTATCGGTAAGTTGTTCAAGATAATATTCCTTGTACTTACAAATTTATCACCTGTTCTTCCCTTGATCACTTACAAATTTTTCATATGGATTCAGAAACTTACAGCCTAATAGCATACAGATGACTTAGATTGAAGACCCAGTTGGTTAGTTCAGCTTAGTCTCAAGCAATAATCGCAACAGTATGAAATAATAATGTCAAATACTTATGCCATATGATTTCTGGATTATGGCATGTAAAAAGCAGTTTCCTATCTGATGGGTAATTAATTCGAAAGACTATACAAAGGTCTCACATGAGGTTTTCCGAGATACAACGCATATTTATGGTGAGATTTTTCAGAGTTCTATTCAAGCTTACCTATTTACAATTAGTATTAAGGGATGAACATGGGAGTTGATGGGTGTAGATGGTTTGTGTAGCTCCAGAATAGCTGTCTCAGATATTGTACTAGAGGATGGCTTTGTAAAAGCTAATACTTGGTGACATAAAAGAATACAGAAAAGTAAGGACTTCAAATACTAGTTGAAAGCTGAATGAAGTAAATAAAACACAAATGGAGACAACAAATACAAAATAATTCATGTGTAAAAGCAACAAAAACAGTGTTATTAGATTATATATTGAAAAAATGTGTGCATTGCATTGCAAAAGACTTACATAATTATGAGTTGGATGAACTATTTGCGTGAGGCTAATAAAAAGTATAATTGTTCATTTTTTTTCCCAAAAAACCACTTCCCAAGTCTTTGGTTTGAATCCTAATTCATAAGCCAGCCAGGTAACTTCACTTGTTGCATTTTAAGGATCATGGTAACCAAGGTCTATCTGTATGTTTTTATATTACTTCCCCTACTTGGAATCTATGTGACCAATAAGTCTCAGTTAATAAATATAGTCATAAGGGGTTTCTTGATTTAAACTTGTGTAAACGCTTTTTTAGCATAAAGATAGTAAACATATGGCTGCTTGACAGCATTTCGAAAAAAGGTTTTTTTTACTTACCTTTAGCCATACCAGGGCATTTATGTGATTGGAGTAGAGGTATTATTCCACAGTGAGGATTCTCAGACTGCCGTTGTAATTCCACCATCAAAGATAGGCGTAAAAATATGGAACAAAGAAGAATTTTGCAGTCGACTCATAAATCATTTTCTGTGTCAACGAAAAATGTAACTGCTGTTAGGTCTTTGGTAAGCAGCCCTGGACCTAGATTCCATGCTAGTTGCCACTTATAAGCAAGCATATATGCCAAGTTCAGGGAAGTTATCTATCCTCATAAATCCAAACCAGGGTCTTTCAATGTTATGGACAGAAGTATTAAAACTGACTTGTTTAGACAGCCAAATTACAGATTCGCCTTATTGACAGGTGACTGAGAGAATTCGGCTAGCACTCAGGACTACAAATCATGAAATCAGTTCCTCTCCATTGTTATGTTGAACCATTCTGTCTTTGTTCTTACGTCAAAATACTATATTCTTTAGAGTGCATGCAGTTTTTAGTTTCATCACCTTGTTTTTATTCTCTCCTTAGGACTCTACATGCCAACTGATAACGCACACAGTATTCTAATGAATCGTTATTTTTCTGGATTGGGCTCTGCAGAAAGAGAGGCGATTTACAATTCCATGCCATGTTGTGCTGCTAATGAAACTATACCTTTTACTATTCTTTATAAAAATCATAAGGAACAACTAGTTACCGAAACACTACCCAGAGCCGTGAAAACTAACTGTGCCTGCAGTTGAATACATGTTAATAAACCAAGTCCAAATTGTATCCAAAAATAAATAGTTGATCATTGTATACTACTAATATGTTGTTAGTAGTGCGATTGAATGGAAATAAAAAAGAAGCAGTGTCGATAAATTTTTTATTACTTTCGTTAAGAAGAGTGATCAAGAAGGCTCGTTAATTTTTAGAATAATTTAGATTTGTGGAAACACTTTTTACCCCAACACTTTAGTATATCAGTGGGTCAAAGCCCTGGAATTAGGCACCTTCGTATACACAGTAATCAAGCTACTTGTATTATGCTTTTTTGGTTAACAACAACTCACTAGCATATTCAGAAAAAAGTCATCATGCATTTCACATTATCATACAATTAAATCAGACTGTAAGGTGACTGCTTCGCAACACAGTTTGAAAATGTTTGAAAACGGTTTGTTCTCGGATATGATAGAGTTGTGAGTTAAACCGGTGTATGGTAATATCACTCCGAGCCATAAGCACATATATGGCTAAATCTTTTTCGCTTCCTCAGTATTTCATCTGATTAAAAATTCAGATTAGACTCCCTGATTCATATGCTACTATTTACTTTCCCTCATCTAATAGTAATTCTCAACGATAATGAAGAAAGTGTAAAACTTAGCTGACATCTGCATTTACTAAGGTTGGAAACCATGAAGAAGGAAACTCAGAAGAACTGATAAAGTATTTCACAACAACAAAAGGGAGGGAAAGGGAAAGCAGAAAATAACAACGGTTGAAAAAGTCATGGATTTCAATTTGTACAATAGAATGGAAAAGGGATATAGACGAATAACTCATAATTTTCCTATTTCAACTCATCAAAAGCTAAGCTTTGCACATTGATGCTCGTCTCTATCAAAACTTATCTGTACTACAGAACCATGACACACCTTTTATCGTAATAGTACTCATAACCAATTGTGTAACATGCCTTGTATATTGTTCAGCTTTGCTACTGAAAAGTGTTTCATTTTAGTCGTTTTTTCATACTGGTCACCACTCAATCTTCAACCTTTCTTTTGCTAACTGATTGAATTTGTCAGTCACTATCAGTAAATATTCTAATTGTATGGATGCTCTAATCCCTCCTCTAATCACGCTTTGGCCATACATTCAGTACTGGTTAGAAGTGGAATTTAGGCGACGCGTTTCATCCTTTATAATATTTACCAGTCGAAAAGGACTGATAGAGTTTAGCCATGTCAACAAACAAGGGGAAACTCCAAGCAATAGGAACAGTTAAGGCTTGTTGAAGGTGGCCTTGGTGACTAACAGACCCAGTAGGGCTCATATACATTGTGAGATCTGAGTTTCATAGAAAATGTCACTACTTACTAAGGTTTAGGTACATGCAACAAACAACCCCAAATAGGACACCTCGATACACTGGAACTATTAGCAGCAAATTGCTTCTCTCCATCTCACTACAAAAGTTCTCAGTAGTTGTTTGATGAAGTTCATCAAAACTGATAACATGAAGAAGGGCAGTAAAATAAACCAACAACAAATCTTTATCACCAGGAGGATTTTCCTATTTTGTAAAAACTGATGGACCAAAGGTTTGGTTACAGATAATGTTGCGACATGATGGAAATGTTCGTTTGAATTAGTGCAACCTCACTAGCGCTCTGTTTGACCCAGTTTTCATACTTCTTGACACACTAGCAAGCTACCCGAGAGAAATTAGGGTTTCATCAACTCTAAATTTAGAGGATTTACCACTAACTTACACCTGGCAAAGATGACTGCTATAAGAAGGAATTTTGTAGCTCAATCGATCACTAAGTGCTAACCAATGTAGCTGTTATGTTCAAAGCGCATAATGCTGGTCGAAGTTTATTTACTGATTGCTAACTTCAGAACTGAGTATCATCGGTTCTAATGTCAGTAGAAGCATCAGTCTTATGAAGATCGCGTTGGTGAGTGCAGAAAAACTGGAAACCTAATTCCAGAACCTCCTACAAATTGATTCCTAACATGTAACATCGAAATACAGTGCGTTGCAGTGCTGCATCATTTAGCTTATTGGTAATATTACACATACGGTAGTCAACCCTATGTGACTACTGAGCACATAAAACTTGACAGTTATAGTAGTCTCAATCCAGTGACCAATTCATAAGCAGTGTAATGTAAAGTGCGGTTTTGTCTTAAGTATTGAAATGCACTGGTCGAAGAAAACTTTCTGAAATGGAAGAAATAAAGTGAAAGATTTCTATTTCACTTCAGTCACCAAGGGTTTTACCCGACTACCATGTGGACTCTTGATGCGTTACTATCGCTTGATCGTACTCCTACTGGTTTAAATTAAATGGTTCTTCTGTCATCTCTCCAGTCGATACATCCTGTTTTGTAGATGGCAAAGACAGCGACCTATACGAAGCTATTCTCCAGAAGCAATAAATTTTGGTCTTGAACCTTCAAGTCAGTGTTTTTTTTGTGACTTTCAGTAATTACTGTATTTTTGTTGCTTCTATGAGCACTTTTTAATTCAAAACAGTTAGTTCCCTTTATGAACTTCGACAAAACAATAAGAAGACGTAAATTGTCTAGACAGAGTAATGTATTTTCACAACAAACCTCGAACTATCTGATCAAACACGCACTTGTCGTAGGTATTTATATGGAAACTCATGAAGATAAGGGTTGAAAAAATGAAAAGTGGTCAAGTAGTAAGGCTGGGTTGAAGACTGAATAACACTGAAAGTCAAGAGAGTGAAAATAACAGTATATCGAACTTGGTTTTCATGGTTGAATTTACCGAGGAAGATTTAATATGACAACAAATTGTTTATGAACACACAAAAGTGGTTCAGGCATTATAATAGAGGCAAATTAGATCACCTGAACCCATAAACGCTGGTAGCAGACGTCCAAGTTCTTCGATTGCGAAACATATCGTTCAGACAGTTCACACGATTGATGTGGTTGCTTCCTTTAGACCTAATTACAAAACGTGTTCGGGACAGTTCCTTAAATTTGTTGAGGCCTTAGCTATTATAATGCCTGAACCACTTTTGTGTGTTCATAAACAATTTGTTGTCATATTAAATCTTCCTTGGTAAATTCAACCATGAAAACCAAGTTCGATATACTGTTATTTTCACTCTCTTGACTTTCAGTGTTATTCAGTCTTCAACCCTTATCTTCATGAGTTTCCATATAAATACCTACGACAAGTGCGTGTTTGATTAGATAGTTCGAAATTTGTTGTGAAAATACATTACACTGTCTAGACAATTTACGTCTTATTGTTTTGTCGAACTTTTCAATTTAAAGAAATCGATTTCGGATCGACTGAGTGTTTAACATTTAAGATATTTCATGACATTCTAAGTTCATCAGTTCAAGAAATCATCCTTTTTCTATTTCTATTTATGTGATAAATAACCTATACGCAAACTCATGATAATACTTCGATGCTAATCAACATCTGTTGGACTTGGAGTTAACAGTTTACTGATATCAGTCAGGATCATTGTGAAGATAACGTAAGGGAATAGAATGAAATATAATCAAGAATTACTAACTCACTGATTTTTGTCACTTCACCTTGAGGCATTTTTTACGTGTTAAATACGAATGAAACTTAGAAAATCACAAAAGAGTTGCTTAGTTAAGCTTTCCATAACTGACAGTGGCAGGGAAAAGTCAGTGACGACAAACAGTTATTAAACTTCATGAAAAGTAATTGAGGAAGTGATAGGGAGGAGGAATGGAAAAAAAACAATAAAAATGTAGGTAAACTCTTTAAAATACTAAACATGTTAGAAAATGCAAACATTTTTAAAATCATCATTGATATGAAATCCTGTCATGTATAGCCTTGAAGAAGTAATCATTAACATCTTTAAACTGCCAGACAGATGGCCCACGCTTTCCTACATGGCCCAGACAAACTTCTAGTAAACTTATTAACTAGCCTTTGTTTTTGATCTCACCAAATTTGAATTTTGTTTGAAGTAATCTCGTTCTAACTAACAGTTTGGAGTGCTGCAGATGGCAGCATAGCGTGTGTAACACACACACACATACACACAGATGTCGATACAATTCCACAAATTGCATCAATTGATAGTTTAATAAATTTTTGCTGTATATTGAACATCTACACGTCAAAAACTGTTTAATGAAATTAATTACCTTAAGTGTTTATGTGATCTCAGTTATTTGTAAGCATATTACATTTCACAGTCTACTAACATTTATATTGATCCCCTATTTCCTCACTAATCGGGAATAAATTCTTCAAAGTGTTAACGAATGAAGATCAATTTTTTCCATTTGGTTTTCATAAAATTTGGGAAGTCATCATGCTTTCCCAAATCTAGTAGCCACAGGTATAACTAGTTTACCATGAAATTATTTTAACTTGAATGTCTAAACACCTGTGTAGCGTGAAAGGAAATCAGGCATAGAAACGCTTGATTCACCATCCATATGATGAGTGAATTAGTGAACATGAAAGACTGTTCACATATGTTTTATTCTTGAGTACAACCACTTCACTGGATAAAATGTTGATTCTGAGTATGTTCTTTTAAATATTCGAAAAGTGTTAGCTACAGTTGTTTGAGATTTGAATTCTAATTCATCATAAACAATTTCAACTAGATGCTATCAGTAGTCAACTGGGAGGTAGTTTGTCACAGTGGTTTGACTAAATGTTGAACAACATTTACTTTAACTGCAACAAATGACGATCAGTCTTGTAAATAAGGTATTATTAGAGTTCAACAGTGTGTTTCAGTGAAGTGAATGGAGCGGATTTACAACGTAAAGCTTAATCTACAC